CGTAGGGCTCTGGGCTGACAGCTAGCTCAGCGCCTGGAGCCTGTCTTTGGATTCTGTGTCTCTCTCTCTCTCTTTCTTTTCTTTCTTTTTTTTTTTTTAAGTATTTTTATTTATTTCTAGGAGAGAGAGGGAGAGAGAGACAACGTGAGCAGGGGAGGGCCAGAGAGAGAGGGCGTCACAGACTGAAACAGGCTCCAGGCTCTGAGCTGACAGTCAGCACAGAGCCCGACGTGGGGCTCGAACCCACGAACCGCGAGATCATGACCTAAGCGAAAGTCGGACGCTTAACCGACTAAGCCACCCAGGCGCCCCATGTCTCTCTCTCTTTCTAACCCTCCCCTGCTCATGCTGTCTCTCTCTCTCAAAAATAAATAAAACATTAAAAAAAAAAGGTGGGAAAATGAGAAAATAAATAAATAAAACCTCAGTTCAGTCCCTAGAGGGGAATACAGGTCAATAAATGTTAGTTTCCCTTTTCTTCTCCCTTCTCTTAGTTCTCAGACATCAAGTTTTGCTGCGAAGAAAAACAGTGAAGTTCCCCTGTGACAGGGTGTATCGCCAGAAATCTAAGCAGGGGAGGAGAGTTGTTATTGCCTTCCAGACTCTCCAACTTGGAAAGTCCCCCCCCCTCTGCTTCCTGTCATCAGGGTTACTATGCCTGCCTTATCCATTTTCTCAGTCCAGCACCTCTGACCTACATCGGACAGTTGCACACAGGCACACTTTGTCTTTAAGCTGTCCAGAAGCTGAAATGACTCAGAACTGAGACGTGTGTGCAGGACAGCATGTCTTCAGGGCACCAGAGGGGATCATGACCCAGGTCATGCCCATGTGCTAGTCACACCAATCTTATCATTTCCAAGGGAATGGCCCTGAATCACATTAAAAGTTTGTGGATCTGTCAAGATAACAGGCCCACGTGTTATCCCTTTTCCTGGCCCATCTGTTGTGACTGATCTATGAATACAAGGCTTTGTCCTTGCATTCAGTCCAGACACCAGGCAGGAATAGATTAACATAGGGCAGGGACTTATTTTTTTTTAAATTTTTTTAAGATTTTATTTTTAGGGGTACCTGGGTGGCTTAGTCGGTTAAGCGTCCAACTTTCACTTAGGTCAGTATCTCGAGGTTCGTGGGTTCGAGCCCCGCGTCGGGCTCTGTGCTGACTGCCAGCTCAGAGCCTGGAGCCTATTTCAGAGTCTGTGTCTCCCTCTCTCTCTGACCTTCCCCTGCTCACGCTGTCTCTCTCTCTCTCTCTCCTAGAAATAAATAAAAATATTTTTTAAAAAAAAGATTTTATTTTTAAATAATCTCCACACCCAACACGGGGCTCAAACTCTTGACCCTGAGATCAAGAGTCACATGCTCTTCCGACTGAGGCCACCAGGCTCTTCTGACACCACCACGGGGTAAGGATTTAAAAAAAAAATCGATCTGACAATCTATTTCTTTTAACCATCATTAAATTTTTCATCTCTATTGTGATTATTCTAAATTTGGACTTTTGAATACCATCTTTTAAAAAATCTATTTTTGCCCCTCTTTTTCCATGCGTTTCTCCTTTAATTCTTTCGATTAAACGTTGTTTTCATGCCATTTTAAGCTTCTGTAGTGGTTTAGAACTTAAAGACTCTATCTCTTCTGGCTTTTCTTAAAATTTTACCATGCTTCTATAACTTAAAGTACACCCTCCCTCCTAGACAACACAGAGTTTAGAAAGCTTGACCTATTATTAAAATACTATTGCGCAGTATTTTCCTTTTGAATGTTTTAAGACTTCTTAAATTAAATATTATAAATATTATTACTGCAGGCAGGGGTCATTTGGAGTTACATATTCATTTGCACTTTTGTTTTCCCATGCTTGCTTCTTGCATAGAAAATTGTTCTGCAGTCATTTTTCCTTCTTCTGGATGCACATCTTTAAAAGTTCCTTTAGTGGAGTATCTTGGGGGTAAAACTCTCTCAGGCTTTGTTTATCTGTGTCTTTATCTCACCTTGGTTCTTGAAAGACCGTTTTGCTGGGAACATAAAAGAAGTCACTAGATTAAGACCCAATCGGGACAAAACCCTTCCAAACCCTTGTGGAGAGATGAGTTCACTGCCCAAACCGACACTCCAATCCCCCCCATCCCTCCAATCCTCTTGAATAATCCAGAGGATCTTAACTCTTCCAGCTTCACTGTCCTCTTCATTGGAGAACTCAGAGACCCTAAAGAATAAGTCAGGGAGTATTTGGCGGTGGAATAGTGTTCCGAGATGGAACACCTGAATTTCCTCTCTTATCTACATTATGGTCAGTTTCCTTTCATCCATGCGCAACTTCTTGACTTCAGGAAGCTTTGGTCTTCCTTCTTTGTTTGAACACATCCATCATGGCTTTCTAGGGTCTGATCATCAGGCCCCTGAATTCACTTCACTCTCTCTCCCAGAAGGCCTCTGGGCCTCATGCAAGTAGAGCACTCTCACCCCCCACCCTCCCATTCTGTCCTGAAAGTTCTGTGAGGCAGAACAGGGCTCAAAATAACTCCCTGTACTAGGACCCACAGCCAGCCCTGACTTTCATGGGCAGGTTTGAAGGGCCTGAAAAGCTCTTTCATTTTTGCCACACAGAATCATCATGAGCCTCTCAATCCAACTCACCTCCTGCCAGAGTCCACCCCTCAGCCAGCACATGACCTGGGGCAATTCTGGGTCACCTTCCCTCCACCACTGAGTGGACTTCCTTTCTATTAGCTTCTTCATTGCCGGGGCATAAGCACGGATAGCTGCTGGTCTTGGGTGTGTGCTGTTAGGACCAGAAAGGGAAGGGCTCGTTTCTACTAGTTCGGGTCGAGAGTCCCAGGAAAAACACTGCCCAGGCCTAACTCTGAGTGCCCATATTTGGGGACTGAGGGGCCCTGGTTGGCCTTGTTATGTGTTCAGCCCAGCTCCATGGCCTCGGAGTTGGCAGAGATGTCAGGCAGAGAAAGACACACTGGGCAGGCCCCAAATAAAGACCCCCATCGAATCTTGCCTGGGTTGTACATCAGGACAAACTATTTCTTCCGTTCATTTGCTCCTCCGTCCATCCATTCATGCACATACTGAACACTTATCCAGCACCAACTGTTTGCCAGGCCTGTCTGCTGTAGAACAGCAGTAAATGACGTTCAGGTTCAGCCCCCATGGGTGGAAGGCCAGGGGGAGGGAGGGAAAGTTGATGTGTAAGCTGTCAGAGACAGTACACATGTCCAACATGGCCACGTTCGTGGGCCTGGTGCGCCCCAGGCAAGGAGGGCCTGCCCAGGGCAAAAGAGGGAGAGCAAAGAGGAAATGGTGGATGGGAACAGGGGCTGACAGGCTTAGAGCAGAACCTGTGGGCCCCAGAAGCTTCCTCGCTGTGGAAATGGAGTCAGCCTGGCCCAGCTGCATGTGCGGTTGGGATTCACAGTCACAGACCCTTCCAAAAGCTGTTCGGAGCTCCCTGGGAATGAGCCACCCTGCCTCCTCCAGCCCTGTGTGGCAAGGAAGGCCCCAGAAATTTCCTCTGGCTTCTTGCTGTCTTGCATTCCCTTCTCAAGGGTCTCCTGGGGATGAAGCATCTAAGAATCCTTCTCCGCCTCTGCCCTCTGGGCTTTGGTGGTCACCACCGCTCCTCTCACTCATAAAGACTTTGCTCTCCCCGAGGTATGTGACCTTGGACAAGTCAGTTAATCACTCTGTGCCACAGTTTCCCCATCGCTAAGATGGAGACAGTAATAGTACCTACCTCATAGAATTGGGGGATTGATTAGTTAATGTTTGTAGAGCACTTATGATAGTGCTGATCTATGGCCAGTAAACGTTACTTTGTTATTATTTTTGTTGTAACTGCTCTCATCATTATCCTTCTGATCCGGTGGGGACCACAGAGTCTCTACACAGCAGCACCCGCTGTCTGAGCCCCGGGTCCGCACCCTCAGACTCCCCGAGGGTTCAGGGGAGTGTTTCCTGCAGCGCCGCACAGACCAGATCCCAGTCGGGGGTTCTAGCTTGCTCTTTTCTGCATCTTCTCCTGGCATCACTCCAAAGCAGGGCTGTCCAGGGACGGGCCCAGTTCCGGGCTGACAAGCAGCACTTGCCTACCCGCGGTGGTAACAGCCTTTGGCCTCAGCAGCCCAAGAGAAAGGCACGAATTCACCCTCGCAACCCAGGAACAGAGTTTGGCCTGAGCCCTGAAAACGGTGGGGCGCCCCTGATAAAGCAAGGAGACCCGATCCTCTCCTGCCTCTCCCAGGCCCTGCTGGCCCCAGGGACTCCTGCTTCTGGGGGTTCCCTCAGTAGATGACAAAGCCTCCCTAGAAATGCACAGCAATGCCTCAGGCCCTGAGCCCCCCATCCCCAGACCAAGGCTCCCTGCCTGGAAGGGTTGGGGAAGACGCCATAAACCAGGCCCTGGAAACGGAGGCTGGGGGGTTGGGCTACAGCCAGACTGACCCCCATTACCTTTGTCTGTGTCTGGGCTGCCGGGGACTGTTGTGGGAGCACTTCCCTCAAATTGTCCCTATCAGCTGAGTCAGGACAGGTCAAGGTTGCAAGTGGGTGGCTGTTGACGTTTAAGTAGCTGTGCCGGGGTGCTCTGATGGAGTACCTCCAGTGCTTGCTCAGGTCTCCTTTGAGAAGCCCGGCTCCCTGCCCTCTTCGCTATGGAGACTGCATGTCCTAGACAAGCCTGACTTTGGATACTCTCTTCCCAGAGGGGAACCGGACAACGTTTGGGTTGGGATTTGGGGTTCCCAGGTCTGGGACTTACAGGCATCTCTGTCCTCTGTGCACCCACAGTGCACCGAGCCCCATGGACACCCCCATCCCTGGCACACAGGTGCAGCCGTTGCTCACCCTGCCCCCTGCACAGCAGCGTGGCAGAAGGCCAGGTTATACCCTGGCTTATCAGCTACTACCCAGCTTCCTCTGCCTGCGTTCCTGCAGGCCTGAGGCTCTGGGAGCCAGCCTTCCAAGTGGCTTCCCGAGTGCCTCTCAGATAATGAGAGGAAATGTGGTCACCAGCTCATAGAAGGCCAGAGTTCCAGGCTGCGGCTCCAGGCCACCTCTTCCTGACTTACATCCATCTCTCTCAAGGCAGCCCTCAGCTGGTCCCTGGGAGCCTGTGGATGCCGTGCAAGATGTCCCCTTTTGGTAGCTGGGGCCTGCCTGCCACCCTTCTCACCCTGTTCTGCTGCCCAGGTGAGCTGGTATCTGGGGTTCCTGACTCGGCACGTGTCAGCCAGGAGGGTGGGCCCCTGCTCCCCTGGCTTCAGGCGCGGGAGGGGGTCCTGGCCTGAAGTCACTGAGGCTTTGAACACAGAGGCAGCCACCATCGGTATGGATGCTGTGCCAACCTGGCTTCTCCATGATTCTGGCAGAGGAAAAAAAGAAAAGCTAGCCTTTTGGTGACCACAGCTTCATGGCATGTGGCAGGTCATGGAGGCCAAATGGTGGGTGGCACGGGGGCCTGAGGTGGAAGGGGGTGCCAGGGTTCAAGGGAAGGTGAGGGACTGCCCCAGCTGTTCCTCAGATGTGGCCTAGGGACAGCGGGGGTGGGGGGTAGCAGAGGACATTGCCTTTTGACTATGGCCTATAAAAGGGAAACTCACGCATCTTCCAGGGAGGGGCTCAGGGGACTTGAAGGGAAATGCTACCGTGTGCTGAGCACTCTGTTTTGGACAACCTGCCAGGTGCTTTTCAAGTACTATCTCACTGAACCTTCACCACAACCTTGCAAGAAGGGTATTACTAGCCCACCTGACAGAGGAAGAAACAGATTCAGAGAGAGAAAGCACCTTGCCCAGGGTCACACAGCTGGTACATGGCAAACTCAGGTTTCGAATCCAGCTCTGTCTACCTGCAATGCTCCTTTCTTGTCATTTCATTACATGCCACTAGCTGAGGGCTGAGTGGGGACATGCTGGTGCTGTGGGAGCACAGGGCAGGTCCAGCTAGCTGGGACCAGGGACCTTCTGGCCATCACTGAGTGGGAGGTGAGCACTGGGGACTCAATCTTTATGCACCAAAGACTTCTTGAATGTCTGCCATTCACAGGGCATTGTGCCAAGAGAAACCTGAAAAATCTGGGCCCTGCTTTCTAGAAGCTCCAGAACATCTAAGGGAGAGTCAGCATGAATATAAATCATTTGCAATTACCTTTCTAAACTCCTCTCCCCCTGCCTTCCTCCTTGCTGAGCTCCACCCATCCTGATCTTGCCATTCCTCAAGCACACCAAGCATGCCCTTGACCCAGAGTGTTAGTGCTGGAAACACTCCCCCTCCCCAGAGAGCTACAAGGCTCACCCCCACCCCCTCCAGGTCTTTGCAGGATGTCTTGGTGAGGCCTGTGCTGACCACACTATTAAAATGACGGCTCCACCCCGCCCTCTCTCTCTTTCCCTGGGCACTGATCACCACCTGGCAGACTGGCTGTTTCACTTGTTGATGATTGTCTGTCTCCTTCACTATAATGTGAGCTCTGCAAGGGCAGGATTTGGTCTGCTTTGGTCACTGTTGTGTCCCCAGAGCCTAGAATGGCACTTGGCACAGAACAGGTATTCAAAAAGCATTTGCAGAGAAAAGAAAGGAGAAAGGGTTAATCCACAGGGACCAAGACGACATAGTCCACCTCCAGTTCTTAGAGGTCTTCGTGGAGAAGGGGACATTTGGGCTGGGCTTTGAAGGTCAAATAGGATCCCTCTCCATGGTACTGGAAGATGTAAGAAGAATGGAGACAAAGAAGACTAATTTGAAGGTGATGGGCTGGCGGAAGAGTAACCAGAGGCAGGGAGATAGCTGGGACAGCACGGAGACCTCTGTCTAGACGTTTGAGGCAATAAATAAGGCCTGAGCAAGGGGAGAGTAGCAGAGGGGACTCTGGACTTCCTTCTTGGGCACCTGCCCCTTGATCAGACTACCCACAGTGGGCAGTTGCATGGGGGCAGGGCAGCAGAGACTGTTGCTGCCCTGTATTTCTGGTCTTCCAGGGTCTGGTGAGATGTTTGAGGTATACATGCATCCAGAGCAGCTGGCCTTGGAGCCCGGAGAGACCCAGTTTATCAACTGTAGTACCAGCTGTGCCCAGCCTGATGTCAGTGGTCTGGAGACCACCCTAAGCAAGACTCTGATAGCCCAAGGAACTCAGTGGAAGCAGTACATGGTCTCCAATGCCTCCCAGGACACAATCATCCACTGCTACGTCACCTGCTCCGGCAAGCAGAAGTTAAAGAGTCTCAACGTCAACGTGTTCTGTGAGTGCCGCATGGCAGGACCCTCCTCCCCATGGCCAGAGCCCATGTCAGCTGTGTGTTTGCAGAGCTACTCTGTTACTGCTCCCAGGCACTTGCTATGGTCCTTACCTCCCTGGGCTCCTGGGGTGACAAGGAACAGGACCCTGACCTTGGGCTCAGAATCTGCTCACACCCTTCACTGGCCTCCTCCTTGAGCCTGCTGGCAACCCCAGTTCTGAGGCTTGCTCAAAGGACAATCCAAGCAAGGCCCGCACAAACCTAAAAGTCACTTCCCAGGCAGGGCCCACGGTCTCCTCCCCTCTCGTGGGACACCCCCCCACCCCATGACAAGTAGTGGGGGCACCAAAAGAAGGGCCAGCACTCTCTCTAGCTACCACTTCCCCTCATGGAGAGAAAGTTAAGGCATCACCTGGGGCTTTTATAATCCCGAGGGCCCCTGGCAAATGTGTGACCATCACACACACACACACACACACACACACACACACACACACACACGGGCATGGAGACCTTCCCATAAGCCAGGATTTCCTCCACATCTCTGCAGCGAGGCTATGGTTTGGGTCCTTCCCATGACCAACATCAGTGGATCCAGTGAATAGAAAGACATCCTATATCCAACATATTATCCGGGGGTGATTGAGGCAAGGTATTCTAGCTCAAAAGAGAGCCCAGGGTACCACTGAGGGCCCTGTTTAATAGATAAAGGATGGAGGTAGCTATGAACCTGATCCTGGAGAAGCAAGGCAGGTCTGACTCCAGTCCCTGCGTCTTAAGTGAGGATCCCACAACTGGTGGCCCCGATCTAATGAACATTCCCTTCTAAGTCCCAATCTAATCATCCAGCCGTATAATGTGGAAATTTGTGTTTGATTTCTGGAGAAGGAGGAGACTGATCCAGATTTTTTATTTCTAGTTGACTGTACACTTCCTGGACCTCCTCTCTGTAGACACCTGACCACCTCCATTCTTAACCATTCCAGAAAACATCCTGTTGGTAAAACTACCGCCCAACACATCCTTCACCCTGAACTGCTTCCTTCTTCCTCTCTTCACACTCTGGACCAGGCCAGGCCCCAGCCCACTTCCTCCCCGAGTCTAGAACACTACGGTGCCAGGGGCTGGGCCTGGCTGGGTAGGGCCTGTAGGATGGCACCCCCATCCTGACCAGACTCCCCTCTTTCTTCCCCACAGACCGTCCAAAGCAAGTGCTGCTGAAACTGCAGCCCCCTTGGGTGGCTGTGGGGGAATCCTTCACCATCGAGTGTTGTGTGCCCACTGTGGCACCCCTTAAGAGCCTCACTCTCACCCTGCTCCGTGGCAAGGAGGCCATGTACAACAAGACTTTTAGGATGATGACACCTGACCCTCAAGAGGCCACAGTCACCCATAACGTCACAGCTCACAAGGAAGACGGACGCCACAACTTCTCTTGCCGGGCGGACCTAGACCTGCGGTCTCATGGTGGGGGCCTTATTTCCAGAATCTCGGAACCCCAGATGCTCAAGGTCTATGGTGAGGGAGAGCCCCTGGATGGAGGGAGTGGGGAAGGGCATGCACCTTCAGTTCCTTAGGGCAAGAAAAAACCTTCACCACCAGGTTCAGGGGCCAGGCACCCAGGGACCCCACACTTAATCCTGGGGGGGGGGCGGTTCCCTCTTGCTCTCCCTCTTCCCTGAAGCTCTTTCCATGTGCTTAGTTTGGACCCCAGCTAGTTGCTTGGCCATTAGTGAACAGTGTGACCTTGACCAACTCAGCCTCCTCTCTCTGGCCATGGCCCCTCTCTACATGTAGAGGTTTGGCCCTAAGATCCCCCGGAGCTCCGCTGTTCTGTGACCCTTGATGAACAAGGTGTTCCCTGTCTTCAGAAAGTTGGTAGAAGCTCACTCAGTTCTTGCCAGGGCTTGGTCTGGACCATGCCACTGTCCAGGCCATGGTGATCAGGAACCACATGCTGGGGGACATCAGCCCTCACAGTCTCACAGAGGGCTGGCTGGTGGCCTGGACCCCGGCCCACCTTTCCTCTAGATACTACACATTAGCTGCTCATCCCTGCAACACAAGTGACTGCAAGACGGGGGAGGGCCGGGTGGATGACAAAGCACACCTCTTGGGCCCTGGAACCTAGGGCCAGAGGACTTCTAAGACCGCTGCCCCCTCTCCCTCCCCAGAGCCCATCCCAGACAACCAGATGGTCGTCATCATCACAGTGGTGTCCGTGCTGCTCTTCCTGTTTGTGACATCCATCCTCCTGTGCTTCGCCTTCGGCCAGCATTGGCGCCTGAGGCGGATGGGCACCTATGGGGTACAAGGTGCTTAAAGGGATCTAAGTCGGGCCTACTGGGCACAGTCTACACGAGTGGCATGGCCACCACCACGGCGGTCACTGGAACTCAGCATGGCTCCTCAGGGTTGTGGTCCAGCCCTGGCTGCAGGACTGTAAGGAACAGCAGAGGACTTTGGGGCCATTTCCTCTTCTACTCTGAATATATACACCTGGGCCTCAATGTCTTCTCCTGGGATAAAACTCAGCCGCCGAGAAGGGCACACACCAGTCCTGGACTTCTCCCTCCAAATGTGTCCTAAGACTTCCTCTGCCCATGTCTTCACAGGGGACTACCAGAGCCCTAGCCAGCCCAGGCCTTGGGGCGCCCCCAGGCTGACCAGCCCAGGCACCAGGCACCCATCCTCACGGAGCCCTGAGTGACTAACTTCTCCTGAGGGAGGGTGGGGGTGACACACCCTCGTCCAGGGGGACAGAGAGACATTCTGTTCCTACTTGGCCCTCTGGGACCTCAGGCCACCCCCGCTCGGAGCAGGACATGACTCTGACTTCTCCTTTCTGCCTGGGGCGAGGGTAGCGCCCAAGGGAACTGGCTCAGCTCCAGGACCTTCTGAGCCAGGCCTCTCCCGCCTCACTCTGGGCCTTCAGAGAGCCTCAGACAACAAAATCAGTCCTCCCCTCACCTGCCCGGGCATTAGGCCATCGAGACCCCCAGCCCTAGCTATCCCAGAGAGGGGTGAGTGGAGGAGGTCGAGGGAGGGCTCTGGTTCCCAGACCACCCTCTGTGGCCTCCCAGCCCTGGATGATGCTTAGAGGGACTCTTACTCCTGGGCAGATATCAGGTCAGTTCAGGGTCTCAGTGGGGTGAAGAGTGTATTGATGCACCCAGGAGAGGGCCTGGCTGCAGTTGAGGGAGGAGACGGGCTGCTGGGCATGGGCGCAGAGTCACAGGCACTAGAGGGGACTCGGGGGCTCCAGGGTTCTCTCCAGCCTTGCAGTGAGGCTGGCAGCGTCCTGGGACTGGCGTCCATCCTCACAGTAGGCTCTCAGCATCATAGAAGTCTGGGGAGAGAACAGCACCTTCACCTTGGCTCCCTCCTGCCTCACTGGACCCAAGGAGGGAAAGGGAAAGGGACAGTCCAGTTGCCTACAGTAGTGATGGTAGGAGCTCCCCACTCCCAAAATGGCCCTCCTGACCCACCCCCAGCCTGGACTTGGGCCCCACTGCCCACCCACCCTGCCCCTACCTGAAGCCGGGGGTACATCTGCACCCACAGTCCCTGTGGCACTGGGGGGTGGTGGTGGGGGGATAGCTCTCCTGAGATGGAGAAAAGGAAGACACCCCCCATCAGAAGGGGTCTCTGGGGTCTCACCCACAAGTATCTCCACTCCACCCCTACCCCCTGGTGAGCTCTTCCAGCCCAGCCCCAGAGAAGAGTCTGGGCAATGCCCAGATCCCCCAGCCTCACTTACGACCCCCTTCTCCCAGGGGCAGGAGGGCGGTGCTGAATCTGGGACATGTCCTGCAAGTAAGGCTGATGTGGGGGAGGGGAAAGAAAAGGGACTGGCCAGGGTAGCAGGGGACCCGGCCTGGGCATCGGGCAGGGGAGGTAGTGGTGGTGGAACACCAAAGGCCCTTCCTCCTGGGCTTGCATCTCCTCCTCCTCCTCATACTCCTCTTGTTGACCCTCCAGGTAGACCTGGGAATTGTGGGAACGGGGGAGGAGAGATGATGATACCGGACACAGCTCTCCCTACCCCCACTCCTCTGTTCCGCTAATTTCTCCTCATAAAATGGAGCATTGACTACATGGAAGCAAGGTACTTTGGAGACATTCATTCCTTATTTTGCAGCAGGGAAAACTGAGGCTCAAAGAGGCTAAAGAACTTGTTTGAGGTCACCCAGACCTGGCTGAAGATTCCAGGTATGACTCCAAAACTGGGTCAGGAGTCCCATGACCTGCCCCTGGCCTCACCCCCAGACCCTGGACCCACCTGTGCCCCATCAGGGAGGTGGGGTGCTCATCCCAGGCCCCCCGCCAGCCCCCCCCAAGGGCCAGGGTTTGAGGAACGGCAGCAGCTCTGGCAAGCCTGGATGCTGGACACAACCTGGCCTCCAAGCTTTCAAGGTCACCTGCTCCTCCAAGGAGTCTTTCCCCAACCAGGTGTGCCCTCAGGCCTTGTACCTTTTCCCGTGACAGTCACAGCCAAAGCTGCCTTGTTTCCACTGTCATTCATTTATTCTTTTCACTTGTTCAGCATATATCACTTGAGCCCCTACTAAGTATCAAGCCCCCTGCAGACCCAGGGTACAGGAGTGCCTGTCCTCCGGGGCCTGTATGGAGACCTCCTTGAAAACAAGACCTGAGCTGTCTGGATTTGGGGACTCCCACCAGATGGAGGCTTCTGGCAGGGGAGTCTGGCACATAATGGATGCCAAAGGGACCCAGGCAGGCCCACTGCACTGTTGCCTGATTCTTTTTCTCAAGGATCCACCCCAGATGCATCCCCACCCTTGGACGCACCTGCGTGCCGGGAGGAGCTGGCCCTGGGTGGAGCGCTGCTGCCACCAGGCGACTCAGCAGCAGCTGGTGCATCTGCGCGTTCTGCAGCAACATCAGTTCCAGCAGGTCTGGGGGCGGGGGGGGGTGCTCAGCAAGCCCACCCATGTCTCCCACGGCCCACTGCCCACCGCCGGGATCCCAGGGCCTCCCCGCCCCCCCTCCAGCCCCCATCTCCCAACACCAGCCCGGGGCCGCGCGGGAGGGAGGTGTAGCGAGGAAGCCCAGAGAATGTGCGAGGCCGACTCGGGGTACATAGCGGGTGAGCCCGGAGTCTCACCTTCCTTCACGCGGCCGGGCTGCGGAGGCGGAGGTGGGGCGGCCCATGCGAGGGGCTGCAGGACGGTCACGCAGGGCTGGTGGGGAGCGGGAGACTCAGCCAGGCGAGGCGGGCAAGGAATGGGGACCAACTTCTCCTCACCCCCCGCCCGTGCACCCCCCGAGTTGCTCCCTACTCCCGCAGGGGTCGCTTTCTTCTTCCCGCCCGCGCACGGCCTCCCCCTTCCCTGAGCCTCTTCCTCGGCGCCTGGGGTCGCTCACCTCACCCACCCCACTTGCTCCGGGTTCGGCCCCTCCAGGGACGTCTCCCCAATCAGCCAACCTCAAAGGGCAGCTCAGCCCTCACCGTCGGGGCTGCACTCTGTGGCGGGGGCTGACCCCAGCTTCCTCCGATGCGGAAGGCCATGCCTGCTTTCGCGGGTCCGGGTTACCTAGGCGACGCGGGGGACGCCAAGGTCTCCTTCCACGCATGCGCAGGTCCCTCGCCAGTCCCTGAGCTCCGAGCGTGCTATGCTCCCCACGCCCCCCCCGGGACTCCCTCCCACCCGAGGCCTCGCCTCTGAGGGATGCTTACCTCCAACCTGCGTTGGGTTCCCTGAGCATAGCATCTTACTCCTCCCTGAACCTCGTGCACCTCCAATTCCGAGCCTCGGGGCTCGTGTTTGTTGAGTGAGCGCGTGAGGGGCTGGGGAGACCCGCCAGTAGAGAATTCTGTAGGAGCAGGCGAGGCGGGGAAGGGCAGGTGAGTGAGGAGCGCAGAGGGAGTGCTGTCCCTCTGAGTCAGAGGTGCATCCTTCAGGTTAGGAGTGGTTTCTGGAGCAGACCAAGGAAGCAAACATCAACCAAGTTCACAGAAAAGACTGGACCCTGGCCAGACACAGGTGGCTGGCCCCTTGACTCTCCCCTTGTGGCCATTCCCTCGTTTCTGGCTGCTACTTTGCAGAGGCGGAGAACCCAGGGACTTCGGCACCAGTGCCTCATTATTGTCCCACATCCTGGAAAAATTACCAAAGCATGCATTCTTTTGACAGGAAGTTATCAAGGTCTTCTTTGCTTCAGAACAGGTGAGGGGAGAGATCTATTTCGGCAGCTGTGACCATCCTAAGATAGGCCCTGAGCAGCAGTCAAGGAAAATCCAGACAGGAAGCTGGGATTAGCACCCCTTGGGCTGCCCTTCCCCCACTCTCTACTTCTGTTCAGCTCCTCTTCCTGGCAGTCCTGGTGTCTAGAACCAGAAAGACCATTCCCACCTCCTCCTTTGTGCTTTAGTCCCAGAGGGGGGGCCTGTGGGCCGTGCATTAGCTGTGAGTCTTATATCTTCAATGGCCATCAGCAAGCTGACATCGGGCAATGTGGTGACCAGCCCCAGGGGAGTGGGATGGACACAGAGGTGCATCTTTCCATCTGCACCCTCACTGCAGTTAGAGGGGCGAAACCAATCCTTGTGCTTACCATCAGCAAACCTTGACCAAGAAGGTGCCTGTGTGTGCAAGGCGCCCTTCTGGACACTGGAGATACAGTAGTATATTCTTGCTGGTTTCAGCATTGCTGGGAAGTGGAAAATGAAAGCAAAAATGCAAGACTATGTATGGGGCACCTGGGTGGGTCAACTAGTTAAGTGTTTGACTTAATTTCAGCTCAGGTTATGATCTCTTTGTTCGTGGGATCTGCACTGACAGTGTAGAGGCGGCTTAGGATTCTCTCTCTCCTTCTCTCTCTCTGCCCCTCACCACTTGCTCTCTCTCTCTCTTTTCTCTCTCAAAATAAATTAATAAACTTAAAAAAGATACAAGACTGTGCAAAGTCCCCTGTGGGTGAGACATATAAGAAGAGGTCATGGGGCACCTGGGTGGTTCAGTTGGTTAAGCATCTGACTTCGGCTCAGGTCATGATCTCACGGCATGTGGATTTGAGCCCCACATGTGGCTCTGTGCTGAAAGCTCAGAGCCTAGAGCGTGATTCGGATTCTGTGTCTCCCTCTCTCTCTGCCCCTCCCCCCCCCTCTCTCTCTTTCAAAAATAAATAAACATTAAAGAAATTTAAAAAAAAAAGAAGGGTTCATAAAAAGAGATGAACTGATCACCGAAGGAAAGGATTCTGAAGTGAAGCCCTTCAGCCAAGCAGTGTGAGAGAGGGCAGCCCAGGTTGGGGACACAGCCTGAGCCAAGGCACAGGTGTAGAAATAGACAGGGCCTGAAATGATCTGGTGGTCACACTCTCTGGCTGTGGTGGAGGAGCGAGGCAGAGAGAAATTCCAGCAGCCCAGGCAGACACAGGTCATCCTCACAGGCTGTCATGGAATCCAGGCTGAGCCATGTAGCTAAGGGAGAGCCCTCAGTGAGTTTTGAGCAGGAGAGAAATAGGGCAGTGACATGTGTACCAACATGTTTTAGGAAGATTCGTCTTGTTCGTCACATCTTTGATAATGTCCTCCAGACTCAGGAAGAACCAATGTCTGATGGGGATGTATCTTCCCAATGGTATACAATTGGTTCCTGCACTCACCTTCAGTGTTTCCATCTGGGGACATTTTCTGGCCACAAGTGAGGCAGGTCAGAAGTCATCCCAGAGGCAGTCCTGAAGCATCAAGGGATAGCAGTTGATGGTAAATACCCCAGCCTGCTGGCCTCAGTGGGACAATTCTGGGGGATCCTCCACAAAGTTTTCCAATAGTCCCTATGGCTTTATGTCCCCGGTGTCCCAGTGATAACCTGGTCACCAACAGACACACACTTCACTGGCTTTTTTTTCCCTTTCTCTGTCATTTCTCCACTCCCTTACAGTGCTTCCTGGATTCCCCTTCCAAATAAACTACTTGCTCCCAAATCCTTGTCTCAGGCTCTGCTTTTGGGGAAATCCAAACTAAGACACTAGACTCCCACTTTCTCCGTGTCTGCCCCCAGTCTGCTGAAAACTCTGGAAAAAGCAATTCTAGTTGCTCTGTGATAAAATTTGCGTTCAGTGAAGTCAAATGCCATGGAAGAAAAGAGACATGGAAGAAAAGAGACATGGAAGAAAACTCATCTGGGAGTATGACAGTCAATGGATTAAACTAAGGCAAAGCTGGAGGCAGGGAGGCCAGCAGAAGGCCATCATCCCCAGTCCTCTGAAAGAAGCACAGAGCAGGCTCGCGGTGGCCGTGAAAAACAGTCAGGAATTGGTGATTTCAGATAGAAAATCACATGTTAATCACACACGAAACTTGTATTTTGGTTTTTTAAATTTTTTTAATGTTTATTTATTTTTGAGAGACAGAGACAGAGCATGAGAGGGGGAGGGACAGAGAGAGAGAGAGAGGGAGAGAGACACAGAATCTGAAGCAGGCTCCAGGCTCTGAGCCATCAGCACAGAACCCAATGCAGAGTTCTAACTCACGAGCCATGAGATCATGACCTGAGCTGAAGTCGGACACCTGACCGACTGAGCCACCCAGGTGCCCCTTGAAACTGGTATTTTGGAAGACAGGGCTGAGATAAAGCTATCTGGCTTCTGTATTCAAGCAGAGTTCTTTGTCAAAGGAAACGGAAACATTTGCCAGTTGAAGAATGGAAAAACCACACACGCTTATCTGCCAGAGCTATTTTGCTTATAGATGATCTAACATTAGTCCAACAGTGGAGAAGGTGACTTTCCATACTTACCCTGCCTACTACTATCTTCTTTGAGGCATTGAATGCTCCACCTATTTCCTTTTCATTTTGTCTCGGCGAAGACTCTTGTTTGCATCCTTGGCTTTTTGTTTTATGGGTTTTTTTGGGCAGTTTTTTGGTGACACACCGAAATATATACCAAAGTCCTTCCTGTTGCCTTGGTAAATCTGTAGCTAGGAATAAGCCAAACATGGAAAAATGTGTTCATCACAGTGCTATTTAAAAAAAATTTTTTTTATAGTTTATTTTTGAGACAGAGACAGAGCATGAGCAGGGAGGGGCAGAGAGAGAGGGAGACACAGAATCTGAAACAGGCTCCAGGCTCTCAGCTGTCAGCACAGATCCTGATGCGGGTCTCGAACCCACTAACCGTGAGATCGTGACCTCAGCCGAAGTCGGACTCTTAACCGACTGAGGCATCCAGGTGCCCCTCACAGTGTTATTTTTAGTAGTTGAAGATTGAACACATCCAGCATCCTCTAAAGGGAATGGCTATGTAAATGAAGGCAATTCAATCAGAGGAAGAGTGTGTAGTCATTAAAAAAAAAAAAAAATGAGAAATGTGCTCCCTCCTTTTCTCCTCAGATGGAATTGCAGAGAAAAGGGAACTTTTAAGAATTTGAGTAGGGGGGCTGTGTGCCTGGGTGGCTCAGTCAGTTAAGCATCTGACTTCGGCTCAGGTCATGATCTCACAGTTTGTGGGTTTGAGCCCCGCATCAGGCTCTGTGCTTTCAGTGCAGAGCCTGCTTGGGATTCTTTCTCTCTCCCTCTCTCTGTCCCTCCCCCGCTTGCACATGCTCACCCTCTCTGTCTCAAAAATAAATAAGCTTTAAAAAAAAAAAAAAGAATTTGGGTGGAAATGTCAGTATTTCTTTTTGGTACAGATGAGGAAGTGCTAAGCAGAGACAGACAACCCAGCAACAGACCCTTTCCTTGGGTCCCCTTCCTAATGAGGCATGAATTGGAAGGAGCTAGTTACATGACTACTGTGGGGAGAGGCCTCAAAAATACCACAGGAAAGAAATCCCATTTTTCTGCTTAGAGGCTCTGTGCTGTTTCTCCAAATCATAGCTTTCCTTGTGAGATGTGTGTGTGTGGGTGTGGGTGTGTGTGTGTGTGTGCGCGCGCGCGCGTGCTTGACAGTCCCCGGTGGCACTTTGGAGACTTCTAAACATGTAGATGGCAGCAGTGGGATACATTGTGATGGGGACTTGCTTTCAAGGTCAAGGTCCCACCTCACAGGAATAGAGCTGTGGAGTGGAGTCCAGAGTCCTCCCCTCCTCGACTCCCTGGAATTAGGGTGTCTCCAACCACAGGGGAGCCCCTGCCCCTGATTCAGGGAGGGAACTGACTGCTCAGGCAGGGGTGAGGGGCCGGGGGCAGTGGCCAGGACAGGGTATGACAAGGCCAGTGCCTGTGGGTCATGGTGGGATTTTCTCGTTTTTTATTTATTTACTTATTTATTTTATTTATTTACTGAGAAAGAGAGAGGGAGAGCATGAGCAGGGGAGGGGAAGAGAGAGAGAGAATCTCAAGCAGGCTTTGTGCCATCAGCATGGAACCCAACATGGGGCTCAATCCTAAGGCCCTGGGATCGTGACCTGAGCCAAAATCAAGAGTCAGAGGCTCAACCAACTGAGCCACCCCAGTGCCCCAGAGTGGGATTTTTCTGAATGGTGCTTCTAAGAATTCTTTTGTCTGTGGGCACCTGGTACTCAGCCTGAACTAGCCTAAAGAAAAGGGACGCTTTTTGGCTCATGTGATGGGGCAGACAGGGACAGAGCCACTCTGTAGCTTGATCCAGGGGTCAAGAAGT